TACGTGATTCTGTTCGGGAGTCGAAAACCTGACACACACAAAAAAATCTGTTTGTGAGTTTGTCTGCTGAGACATTGTTCGCTGATCGAGTCAAAATGTGTTCAGAAATTGTGTTCATGGGCCGATTTGTTCGTTACTAGAAAAGTTTGGGATCCGAGCTACCACTGTATGCTCAGTGTGTTTGTACGTGTGTAGGTGGTTAAGGGATATACGTGAGATGTGGTGGCATAGTGGCTTGTCTCTCGCCTGACGACCCTAAGGTCTAGGGTTCATAGTTGTATAGAGTCAGATTTTTTTAATATTTCAAAAATTGACTTTGGCTTCTTGATCGACCCGGTATAAAATAAATACCAGCTAATGTCCTTGAAAGTATAGGCAGCTGGTGTTATGCTGAGAGAGCTGAGTGGTCCCGAGGTATGGCATCCACCTCCAGTGCTTGAGGTCTCGGGTTCAAACCCCCATTAGGCTGGGATTTTTTTTCACGTGGACTTCTAGTAATTTGTTCATGTCTCTGGGTAGTAAGACCGGACGCCCGTGTGTATTGTTGCGTACGTAAAAATTCATTGGCAGTTGGAAATCGAAAAAAAAATTGGAGCTAAAAATCTACCCAAAGTATTTCAGGATCCTCGCCTGTGCAACGGAGTTAGTGCACCCGTGTGCCATGATGTTGATCCGTTGAATAAAACAGAGATAAGCAAGGTGTTATGTTGACCACATAACCCACCCAGTGACGATCGGTATATACAAATACTGGTATCACTGTAGGCTATACTTGACTCTTTAAAAGCATGGAAACAAAATTGTCGTGGCACCGTCATTAAGAAATCACTGCGGTCTCAACAACATTTTATACATCATGGTTACATGGGGGTCTCTTAAATTAAAAAGTGTTGGAAAAGGGGAGAGGAGTCGGTGGTGGCTCAAAGAACCTGAGCCTCTAGGTGCCGTCGCCTATGTAAAGAACATTCCACATTTTTCTGATCAACCCAGACGCTCTCTGACCCCAACCCTGAATTGTTATTTCTCACCACAGCCAACTATAGATATAAATAGCCTGAAGATGGGCGTGTTTCTAGCAAGGAAACAAATACGTCTTGATAACGCATGCACTCTACAGTTCTACACGCTTTTTCAGGACGCTCAAGGGTTCTGAGTCTGCAGGTTTTGGTGTCTATGGTACACACACACACACACACACACACACACACACACACACACACACACACACACACACACACACACACACATATATATATATATATATATATATATATATATATATATATATATCGTAATTATATTCGGTGTGTCCCAGCCATCCGATAGGTACTAAAAGCGTAATTTTCCCTTTTAAATAAATAAACTGAAAATATTAGCGGCATGTCCTTTTATCAGCCCAAAATATTGTGGTCTCTCTCTCTCTCTCTCTCTCTATATATATATATATATATATATATATATATTGTTTCTCTGCTTCAAAAATCACCCGGCCGCCCTCCCCCCCCCTCCCCCCCCCCCACAATCACCACCCCCTACTTCCATCGTTTCAATTCGCCTCTGCGATTTGCCTTTTCTTTCCAGTTGGTGACTTCAAAGTGTTTGTAAGTCTGCTTTTGATGGCGTATATGGTTATTTATATGGTTATTATCCGAAATATTATCCGGTTTACCCGATTCACAAAATTACATGCGAGGAATTTGGCATGTAAAAGTCAATCTGGCAAATCTGTCAAAGAAGTCAAAATGTCGTGACTGCAGTTTTTCTGTGTCGGAGTTTCAGGTCGGTGTTTACCATGATAATGATTCCTGTTTAGTATACCGAAGTTGGTTAATTATTGTATCGTGAAATATGGAAATGGCAGCAGTTATCTGTCGCCTGTTTTTCCTAACACGTTTCATTTATAGTAGTCTTCTTTAAAGTAATATCCTGTACTGTAGTGTTCTGGAAATTCGCATGTGATTGCCATTTCATTGTCCTTGTTGTTGAAGTTGATTAAATTGTTTATAAATTATACCCTTGTTATTTTAAATTTTGTTTTTCATCCCATGGCCATATTTGTTCCTTAAGATTGTTATTAATATAATTAGTTATATTAGATTAGCGTCATAAGTTTGTATTGTTTAAAAGTTTATTTAATTCTTTCTTCTGACGTCTGTGTTTAATAAATTATTAATACTATAATTTTTTTTGTAATTCTTACTTCTGCAGACTGCTGCTAAAACTAAATAATACTAGCTAGTCTTTTACAACAGCACACTTCTGTACTACTAACACCACCAACACGACACTACTCGGCTATTCTCCGAATAACGGTCGTAAATTATCGAGGCGGAAAATATACCCTAACAGGGCCTCAGTCACGTGTCAACTGCGCAGTTCCTGAGTTCCGTCGCTTTAAAATGCAAGCTTCCAGCAACTTCCGCCACGGCCGAATTGCGAACTTTCGGCACCTTCCGCCACCACCGAGTGTCCCTCACGCCGCTCACGCGACGTGGATTGGGGCTAAACTAGAATTGTGAACTTCCGGCAACTTCCGCCACGAGTGTCCCCCACGCGGCATGAGCGGTGTGGGTTGGGGCTAAACTAGGTGGCACCATGAGCAAATAAAATGAAGGAAGCTGCAGGAGATGCGGTAGCTGCTGCTTGTGAGTCCCAGCCATCTAGTTTAGCCCCAATCCACGCCGCGTGAGGGATACTCTCGGCGGTGGCGGAAGTGCACAATTTAAGACGGAAGTGCGCACGTGACTGAGGCTCTGTTAGGGTATATTTTCCGCCTCGATAATTTAGGACCGTTATTCGCAGGATAGCCGGAAAAAACATTAACACAGTGTGGCATTACAGCTGGCAATGAAAGAAATGTTCTGTTTGTCCACACCTGGACTTTGATCTTGTCCCAGAAATTGAGTTTGCATTCATGTCCATTTTACAGGGAACCAACAGTCTGCATACAAATGAGGCAGATCTGTGAAACAAAAATGCATGCAACACTCAGGTTCTGTAACATGACTGAAGTCCATAGGTGGATGAATACCCAGAACTTTCACCAGAGTTTACAGCTGGTGAATGTGAAGAATAAAAAGATATTGTTTATTTTGAATTTAGCGACACAATCGGTTCTTAATTAATATCTTGGCTATCCTCTGAATAATGGTCCCAAATAGTTGAGGCCGAAAATGTACCCTAACAGGGCCTCAGTCACATTTCAGTTGTGGACTTCCGGCGACTTAAATTGTGCATTTTTGCCACCGCCGAGAGTATCTCCCATGCCGCTACGTGCTGCTGGATTGGGGCTAAATTAGATGGTTGAGACACACGAGTAGCAGCTACCGCATCTCCTGCAGCTTCCTTCATTTTATTTGCTCATGAATCCCAGCCATCTAGTTTAGCCCCTATCCACGCCGCGCATAGTGGCGTGAAAGATACTCTCGGTGGTGGCGGTATAGTCTGCAATTCAGCAGTGGCGGTATAGTCCCTGGAAGTCCGCAATTAAAATGTGAGTGAGGCCCTGTTAGTATATATTTTCGGCCTTGATAATTTAGTACCGTTATAAGGATGATACCCCAGATGACGTCACAGGACAGTCCAACATTTTAGAGGTAAGACTGGGTTTCCCGGCTTTCTGGTGCTTCTAACCACCCCCAAAACATCTAGAACTGGCCCTGACCCCACAGCCCACCTATGTCCCACGACATAGTGCAGCCTAGGTCACACGACTGCATGCAGCTTAGGTCCTACAACTGCATGCAGCCTATCTACCACCCCTGTGGATTTCCCCTGTTTATGGTAGGATATTAACAAAGCGCCACAAAATGTAATCAACTGTGGATAAGTCCACAATAGACAAGATGTGAGTTGGTTGAAGGCTTGTGTCCCATTGGGAGGTAAAGGTAATTTTACAGGAGTTACCTGCCGTAGCTGTATTTATGTATTGTGATTATCATAATCACATATCCTTATTGCTGAATTTTGTTTCTCTCTAGGGATTGCAGTCTATAAGATTAGGATCAACACCTAAAGGATGGGAAGTCACCGTGGCGGATCGAAAGGTCGTGGGTTTGCTCCCTCGCGGAGCTGGACTTTAAAAAAAACCACCTTGGCTCCCAGGTCGACCCAGCCTTAAGTGGGTACTGAGTGCAGTCTTGGGAAGTAAAGGCAGCCAACGTGATGCTGACCACATCACCCATCTTGTGCCGATTGGTCTATAACATATAGGTCTATATAGGTCCTTTACTTACTTACTTTTTACCTCAAGGATGAGAATCAGAGGGGTTGTATCCTGGAAATCCCATTCAACCTTACAGCCGTATAAAAAAAATTTAAAGTAAAGGACCCTTTTCCACATTTTCATGCATAATGGGCACATAGGGCTAAACTTATATTTTATAAACCAATCGACACTTGGTGGCTGGTGTGGTCAACATCACGCCAGCCGCCTTTAATTCCCAGGATTGTATCTGGGGGCAAAGGTCATTTTTTTTTGGTCTTGTCTCCATCAGGACCTGAACCTACAACCTTCCGATCCGCAAGCGAGCATCTAGCCGCTACACCACGGCAGTCCCCACATAACACTGTTATATTGGGACTCCAGAGAATTGTTACGAAGTAACCTGTTGTCCAGTGTGGGTGGGTGGGTTTGGTCTGGTAGGCTGATTCAGGAATAAATGAACTTTGCTTCAGTGAAACCTAACAGCTTTTGAAGTACTCTTGTAATGATTAGCACTTTTTATATGATTTTGCCATGTCCACTACCAGAGCAACATTTAAATTTATTTACTTTTCTTTTCAGAGAAAGGATTCCTTGTTGGGGTTTGAGGAGAACGAGTGAAAAATCTGGCAGAAGAGGAATGCATGCAGTGGTGACCACACAAAAAATTGGTTCTTTTTGGCATCATATGCTCAGAGTATGTCATTAGAAAGACACTAGAGACAAGTTTAGAGAGACTACTTGGCTAGTACTTGACAAGCAAACGTTGTGTGTCAGATATTAACTTCATACTATCATGGATGCACAGATGCTAGAAGAGAAGATGAATGAAGCCCGGAGCAAATTTGACCGAGCTTGTCAACAAATAATTTTGCTTGACCAAAAGATCAAAGACCTGGAGGTCAGGTATCGGCGGGCAGTCAAAAACAAGAAAAATTCCTTCAGGTATAACTTACGACTACGGTTATCGGTGGTGACAGGGGTGAAGATGATGTACCACCACTATGCCAGTACTAAAGCCGAGGAAATTAACAAACTGCGAAGACTTGTGCAGGAGGTCGAACAACCCGAAGTGGAGGTGGTGACACAGAGAATTGTCTTACCATGATCTTTCTGCTCAGCGACCCCTAATTGTGTTTGGTTATAAATCCCTCACGAGGAGCAAGGCCTCTGATTGTTGGAGGGCTTATAAGCAGTGAGTGTAAATGGCAGAAGGAAAAATGTGAACATTAGTTTAACTGTATTTGTTTTAATTTTTTGTAAAATACTACATAAATAAATCATCGAATAACCCTTGATTCCATTCAGATAGTATAATATTGTAAAGCAGTGATTCCCCAACTGCAGCGCAGCGCCCCTGGGAGCTGCGACTTCTTCACAGGGGCGCCGTGAAATGTTTGAAGATACACTAGTTTTTTTTGTTTTTTTAATCTCTTACATACGAATGGTCATACTTTTACTTGGGTTAGGACGCCGAGGAATAGTTTTAATTGAAAAAAGGCACAGCTACTAAGACAAGTTTGGGAAACACTGTTGTAAAGTACTGACTGGTTCTCATACATGCCGAAAAGGGGGGATTGGGGAGGAGGAGACTAGGAACAGAAGGATGCCTTTGAGAACATAAATGTTTAAAACTATAGTTGAAGTACACGTATTCATTCTTGCAGTGAGATTCGTCACCATCTACAGGGCAACAGACTTGATTCTTGGTCTGATTATGATAATTGTAACTCCTTTTGTGTCAGCTAGCTTCTGCATCTAAATGTTGAATTAAGAATCAACATCAAAGCACTCGGGCTTCATTCTGTATGTGTTCAGGTTTCCTCAGCTGACTCTGTGCTTCTACGTCTGAAAAGTACATAACTGTTGTTTTATTTTTTTAAATTTTAATTATAACAACCTAAACTGTTGTTTGACCTTTTTATGGTAGTCTTGAGTCAAAATACAAACATGGGTTGACCGATGGTCCCTCATTTCTTGGTTAGAAATCATTCACAGGGGAAAAGAGGGCATCTAATCATCTAATAAAAGGAGAGCTTATAACTAGTGAGTGCAAATGACCGAGGCAAACATTGTACATTAGTTCATCTGTGTTTGTTTGTACTTGTTGTATCATGCCTCATAAGTAAATTGCTGAGGGAACCCTTGATTCCACACAATGTAAAGTATTGATTGATACTCACAGATGCGGAAGAAAGAAGCAGAGTCAGAAGGACACCTTAGGCAACATAAAAATGGAAATATATTGTTATCACACCAAGGGTGTCAAATTGGTCATTTTGTTGAAGTTAGCTTATTCCTGCAGTGAGGTGCTCTCATCATCTGGAGGCGAAAGGTTCGATTCCTGATGTGATAACTAGCCTTCTGTTTTTATGTTATCTATTGTGACTTCTGTCTCTACTTTCTTTTGCATTAATGAGTGCCTATAAGGTACATTACAGTTTGTTATTTGTAACATACCGAAACTATTGTAACATTTTTGCAAGCATTTTGACTAAAATGAATATTAGTGTGAAATTTGAGTATAGCTGTTGATCGGCCAGATTTTATTACAGAAACTTCTCCTAGCAGTACAAAAAAAAAAGTCATCTTGGTCCTCATAATAGCGTAGTTGCTTTGGCTTCAGTCATGCATCATCTGGTCACATCTGGCAGCACTGATCCTTTCTTTGTTTAGTGGTTCTGAGGGAGATGTGTAGGTTTGTGAACTCCTTTGTTGTGAGCATTCATGTGTGAAAGACATTGAACATCGCAACACTAATTTGATGATAAAATAATAATAGATAAACTAGGTTTATCTTAAAAAGGCCGAATGCTAAGCTGATGGCAATACTGAAGTAGAGAAGCTAAGTTTATGAAGTAACTGTTGAAGAAACTACAACACTAACTTGATGAAATAATAGAGAAACTAACTTCGTGCATGAATAACAAAATGTTAAGCTGATGACAAAATGAAAGCCGAGAAACTTGTTTGTTTTCAAGGTACGATACAACAACAATTTAGTGGTTTGAACAAAACAAAATAGACCAGGCTCATGAAAGAACATTACAACTTCTTCTTCTTCTTCACTTCCTCTTTTACCGCTGTGTGTGTCGAGTGAGATATAAGGTTCTGTTTCTAGCTCTTCTGGCCGCCTCGACCATAGGCACATCGTGCTGTTGTAGAGTTTCTCTGATGTTATCCTTCCATCTTGTTCTTGGTCAACCTCATGCTCTACGTCCTTCTTCTCTTTCCATGTATGCTTTGTATGGTATGGTGTCACAAGGCATTCTCTCTAAGTGGGCAAACCATTTCACTTGCTGTCTTCGTATGTAATTTAGAATTGGTTCTGTGCCGACTTTTTCTCTTATGATCTCATTCCTCTTATGGTCACTCCTACAGCCCTTCTCAGACATCTCATTTCCATGGTTACTAATTACAACACTTGGGAATAATACAACACTGACAATGATAAATAATAATAGATAAAAGATCAGGAAGGTATGAAACACCAGCAACATGTAGAAATATCTCTTCCTTATTGCTTTTTTCTGCTGTTTAAAAACCATAGCATTCATAGATTGGTTTTTATATGTAGTCTGTTTTCGCATCATAGATGTGTGAATGTTTTATTAGATATTTACATTTTCATTGTACATGAAACATCCATAGCTCGGAATACTCATAGTGCAAATGTTGCTTAAATCTGTGGAAACATTTTATTATTTTGAGTTATTTTTTGTATTATTTTTTTTTTTCCTGTTTGATGCTCAGTATCAGAAAATGAAGTGAGATCTGAAATTAGTTCTAGTGTCCTCATAAATAAACTTGATGACATTTGACTGATAAGCTTGATGGGGGGGGGGGGGTCTAGGGGGAGACAAGAGATACGGTAAAGGTTGATCTCCCCATGCCCCGCCTATATACACACTAGCTCACTTCTGATTGGTAGTTGCTGTACCTGTCACCTTGGCACAAGGTTATTGAGGTGTTTTGCAATGCCTTTGATATCGGGTGTTGTATATTTCAGCACGCCAGCGCTTTTAACACTCCAAAAACATGGAGAAACTGGTCCTAACACAGCAACATCCCCCCAGAGACTGCTGCAACCTATGTCACAGGCATTCTCTTTCTCAGTATGAAAACGTAAATGCAAGACATCACAGAAAGCAAACAACAGAGCGGTACACACCCGTAACCTTCAGGAAAGTCGACCAGCCCAACAAACTTGCGAATGAAAAGTTACCTACTCTATTTGGTGAGATTAACGTGAACCTAGCCAAGAGATACATATCCGGATAGCTCAGTCACATGGCTTAGGCAGGACAAGAACACTGACCTGTTCTGAGATTGGTGATGGCGTGAGATGGTGAACCACGGCCACTCTCACCTAAAAAGTCTGGCATGTGATGCTGTGGTCATCTTAGAAACAGGTTCCCAGCTGGGGGGCCTGGCCAACATAGCTTTCTTTGAAAGTGCATAAGCCTAAAAAGCAAAGAATCAAAGCTGTACACACACATATGCCAGATCTATAAAATGGATGTGCATGCAGACCTGAAGTATTATGATGAGGGCAAAGTTGTGTTTACAGCAGGTGAATGTGAAGAAGTCTGGCACATTGTAAACGAATGTCTCATCCTTTGTGCCGTTTTTTTTTCTCAGTTACTGGACTGTTGTCAGTGCATATTTCTTGAGTCGCTTATTTTATCAAATCCATCATCATCATAGTCATTAACTCCACAAGTCATTGGACAACCAGTTGTTGTGGACTCTGGTCAGTTCCTCCCCCTCTCCACACAGACACCCCCCCCCCTCTCCCCCGCCTTCTGTTGGTCAGATGCAGTGAACTTGATGTTTGAGGCCTGTTCAGTCAGCCACATTATGTATCTGTCATACCTGGTCAGACACTTCTCTGTTGTTTTATCTGTGTGAAGCTATAGTGGACTCATTTTGTTTAGGTGATGGAGTTCCAAGGTCTGCAGGTTGGCTTCTAAAGCTGCAACCCCTGATAAGTTGGAGGCTGTACAAAAGTGAGGTTAAACAGTCATGAGCAAGACGGTTCCTTGGGTGAGCCCAGGAACTGAGTACCATGTATTGCCTCTGCATTTAAGGAAAACTCCTTTAAAAAACCCTTTTTTTTTTAATACTGTAAATTTAGTCTGTAAAGCGGACATGTTCTACAAGCATTTTTCCAGTTTATTTACTATTTTTTTTTAATATTATAAGTTTTATCAAAGTTTTAGCCCATTGAAACGATAGCAATCAAATACAGAAGGTCTGAAAAGACAGAATGAAAATAGAGTTGCTGAAAGACTATTGAAATATTTTGACTACATTAAAAGACATAACCTCTGTTTTAAAACCCATATTAAAGGGTAAAGTTGAAAGCAAAGGCTGGCAACGATACAAGTTAAAAGTATAACATCAAGATGTAGACAAACAATAGTCTGAGAGAGTGTGCAGCCAGAGACATAGTGTGTTGTAGATCCATTTCGGCCAGCCTTCACAATGAAGATGGCTTTTTTTAATTAAACTTATTTGATTGTTTTTAGTTTTTTTCGTTCTGTAATTAACTAAAAATCCTCGACTGGTTTTCTCTAGCCTTGTCAGTTTCATCCGTTATGTTTAAGATAAACATTTCATAGACCCTTCCTTTTAAAAGGAAAGATCTTTTTGTGTGTTCCTGGGTCCCATTTTTTGGAGAGAGAGAAAGAGTAGCCCCACCAACCCCCAGCCCCAATCATATGTAAAAGGTGGCCAGTTAGAGGGGTTTCTTTCGAACTCTTGAGTGCATCTGCCTGAGAGGTGAGGAAACAGTAGTAAGCTCCCCTGTGTGGGTTCCGGGGCCCTATTGTGGGGAAAACAAGAATAGACCCACTGCCTCCCCAAAAGCATGTCGTAAGAGTCGACTAACTGGGGAGCTTCCTTTGAAGTCGGAGTGCATCTGCCTGAGAGGCAAGGAACCAGCAGTCTGCATTCAAGAGAATCAAATCTGTAAAACTGATGCACATGCAACACTCAGGTTCTGGAACAGGACTGCAGTCCAGAAGTGGACGAACAACCAGAACTTTACTCCAGAATGTACAGCTGGTGAACGCAAAGAAGAAGAAGAAGAAGAGTAGTAAGCTT